CCCCCCCCCCCCCCCCCCCCCCCGTTATGGCTCGGTGTCCTGATGGCATGTCCTCCAGACTCCAAGTCTTGTTCTCAGTGATGGTCGCCATCTCATCCTACATTATATTCAGCCAGCACGGGTTCCTTTTCGTTTCGGCGAAAGAATTCGATTCATCTGCGCTTATGGCATGTAGTTCGGCCACTTCTTCGAGCTCGTGCACCGCCAGTCTCGGTGGTTCACCTCCTTCCAGTAGGTCTTCAATCCTCCGGAACCTGATCGTCAGACCATCATCTTGATCGGCATCATGCGTCGAGTCCGCAATACGTGGGGTTGCAAACTCCACTTGTTCAGAGGGCATAGTAGGAGTTGTGGTTGGTGTTGGCGTAGATGTGCCCGATGTAGCTGCTGGCGACGGTGACAGTGCCCGATGTTGTGTTCCTCCTTCTCCCAGGTTTGTAGCCGATGAAGACGAACTTCAACCCCCTGGAATCGAGCTAGTCAAAGTGGCGACGCATGACATTCATGTATGCGACACAGCCGAACACTCGAAGATGATGTACCGCTGGCTTCTTGTTGTATCAGGCCTTGTGTGGCGTCTTCCCATCGACGCTTTGCGTTGGCGACCGATTGAGGAGGTAGATGACTGTCATGACCGCCTCTCTTGAGAACCTCTTGGGCATCCCAGCCGTCATCAACAGTGACCTTGTTGTCCCGAAGATGGTCTGATTTTAGAGCTCCACCATCCCGTTCCGCTGAAGGGAAGAGGGCGCCATTAGGTGCTGCTGCATGTCAAGCTCGTCGCAATACTTACCAAAGCTTGCTGAGGTGAATTCTCCACCTCGATTCGTGCACAGCACTAGCATCTTCTTCCCGTATTCGGCCTCCGCTCGTGCTTGAATGCGCTTAATCGCCTTAGACGAAAAGGGGTGCGCCTCTGCTTGTCGATGAGACACTCATCGCACAGCCTGTTCATGCCTTCAATTTCCGAAAAACCGTACACCATCTCCTCCTTGTGTAGTTTTTGTAGAGCAGAAAAGCTCAGGTGCCCGTACCTTGCGTGCCACCTCTAAGCTACTTCTTCGATCCTAGCCGAGAGGGTGACCGACTGCTCTATCTCCAACTCCAGGGTGTAGAGGCGGTTTTCCCTGCGCCGAACTTGCGTGAGTAGCCGGCCTCATCGAGTTGACCCCGACTCGCAAGGTTAGCCTTGAACTTCGGGACGAAGTAGACGTTAGTCAGCTTGCAGTGCTCATCTCCCTTGCCGACGAACAGGATGGTGTCGCGTCCTTCAATCTTGACGACGGAGTCATCGCCGAATTTAACCGTCCCACGAACTTTCACCGATTTGAGCGAACACTCGCTCCTTCTTCAGCTGAATTAGCTCCTCAGGTGAATCCTTTCTCACACCCAGCTGGAGCTCTTCCTCGAAATCTATCGACCCTCACCGACGACGGACACTCACTCCTCCTCAGCTTCAAAAACATTGAAGCTAGATTGGCTTAGTGGTGAGTGGTTGTGGCGGTGGTGATGATGGTGATGATGATGATGTGGGCCTGAAGCGGCTACTTTGTGGTGGCCGTCGTGGTGAGTTGGTGCAGGAGCTAGGCTTCCATGAGATTTGGTAGCTTCGAAGACATTAACACTAGTAGAAAAGAAACACAAGCACACAAACACTTGTTCTAAGAGAAGCCATTTGAATATGATATGAACTTCTAAGGTTGAAGTCTCTAAATTGAAAGTATACTATATAATTAAGAAAAAGTTGAATAGTCTTCTATAGAGAGTCACTCAATTTAACTGTATTTTATTTAAATTTAGATTTTAAAATAAAGAACCAAATTCACCTTCCATATATGAATTCAAAAAAATTCTTAATTAAAGTTTTATATTTAATTTAAAAGGTCAATTTAAGAATTTGATTCATCAATATTTTGGTTCAACAAATTAAAAAGAAAAAATATTATGAACGAAGGTGGAAAGAGAAAAGGTTGTTGTGGGATATTCTTTAATGAATCTATTTTTTCTAATAAAATAATAATGTATAGACTTAAATGTTCATAATAAATTAATAAGGAAAAATAGATTTGTGATGAATGTTGTTTTATATGTTTTCTACTATGTTAGAAAGGAGGATGGACTATTGCGATATGTGCTCTAGGTGATTTTATGGTCTCATGGAAGAGTCTACCATCTAACCTTCCATGGACAATGTTCAGATTAACACCATACTGTCCCTACAGTATACGAGGTCGCGCTTCAATCCAAGTCACTGATCCTTCACTACGTAACAAAGTAAGCTACCAGGGTCAAAGAATAGAAAGATTGTAGCAACTCAGCAAGACAAAGATAGCCTCCAAGTCATTAGCAGTTGGTACAATGTCAGCAAAGCTTCCACCTCTCTTTCCATTCCGAGGACCATTGAGCTAGGACTAGACCAATTAAGGTTGTGTGACCTATAATTCGGATGAAAATAAATTTCAAGACTTAGTACCTAAACACAAATTTATCAACTCTAGTCAATCCTTATCGTTTGAAAATATAATTGAAACTTACAAATGAAAAATATGAAATAATTGGCATACTTGGATCGTGAATAAGGGTATTTTATGCCTTAAAAAAAATCTAGCAGAAAAGAGTCTCCTAAACAATTGAATTTTACCTAACTGCACACTCATAGTTGAGAAATGAAAGTGAATATACACAGATGACTTGTGGCTAGGGATGGAAGGCCAATCAAAATCGGATATAGTTAGTTTGGTAAGAGAATTCTCTATTTACTTCATTGATTAGTGATTTCGAACCCATGTTTGTTGGTTTGATATACATATATGAATAAAGGGTTTTGGAGAACTTTGTTATTTTATTTTGTTATTTTGAGGTTTTACAATTTTTATAATAGTTAAATTACCTATTTAGTCTCAAGAAATACACTATTATAAGTAAAATTAAACTTCAGAAAAATCTTGCAAAGGTAAAGATAAATTCAATGCTTAAACTTTTCGAGCATCATTAGAAAAATTGTTTGATAAGCGATTCAGTGATGGACTTGTAGACTGATTCAGTCGGATGGATGCTATCCCAAAATATGTATTTTGATGGATCTTCACACGTTGGGGTTAGGGCATTACATAGAGGTCCTGCTTCTGCCAATCCAGTTCCACAACAACCTGTGTTTGTATGCTCAAAACCTATACAACCAAATAAACCGAACAAAATTTAGTTAAAAGTGATTCTTAAAACTTGATTTCCTCAAAATATTTAGGACGTTAGATCCTTTAAGTTGATAAATTTTTCTATTTCAATTGGCATCAACTTACCATATTGGTGAGGATTATTGATCATGTCCATGAGAGGGGTGTAAATGTCAGCGTACAACATTTTGCTTCTAGGTAGTTGCGGTTGTAGATTGCTCAGCAACTTTGAAAGCTTCTGATTATAGGATTTCGAGTCTGAGTTTTGATCTTCCAAACATATTCGATTTAGGGGATTTTGAAACGATATAGTCTCTTGAATTGGAAGACAACCAATCGGAGGGAGGCCAGCAACCACTATATTGCGACATCCGAGCTGGTAAATTTCCTGTTCATTTTCAATCAAATAATGAAGATGAAAAGTTACATTTTAACATTTTGATTATTGTGTTAACAAATATTGACTATGATTAATATGGCACACGGTATAATTTACCTTGATAAAACTTTGTAGTCTATTCAGTATGAAATCTTGGTAACCGCTAATATTGTACTGTAGTTTCCTTGTGGGAAGGTCGTAGAAATTGATGTTCAAATCATTAGTTCCTGCACTAATAATAACCAAAGCGCTACCAATAATCTTTTTACTTTCATCCACGCCCACAATCCTTTGAAGCCTTTGAATGTAGTTCTTGAAAAGATCAATTTGCTTCATCACAGGAATAACTTTGGATATTGTAGCAGTTAGATCATCAAACCCTGTGCCAGCTGATGCAAAACTAACTCCTGTTTTTACGTCATC